GTTTTCAAACCTTCTGTCTTTCAATGTGAAATTTAGCTGTCTTTTTTATTATTTGAAACACAGAATTGAATTTGCATCATGTTCTTCGATGTCTTGGAGCGATGTTAGCGCTAGGTAGTTTGTACTGCTAGGAATTCATTCTATATAGGCTTCGTCCGTTTAAGTTTTGGGGGATTTGATCTGTAATTTAAGGAGTTGCACCGTAACCTTTTTGCTATGAGTGAGTTTTTCGAATCGTAATCAACTCAATTTTTAAGTTTATAGTTCTGGAGAGAGTATTGGCTGGTTCTGGAGCTATGGAGCAAAATAAAATATCAGTCTTTTTTGATAATCGCTGCTCAACTTATACTTAATGCTAAAGAAAAGATAGTTTCTTAAACAGAGAGTAATATCAGCTATAGTTGTACCTAAATATATATATATATATGATAACTATTCCGCATTTTTTTTAGTCAACCTCAGAATTTCCTTCATTTTTTGCTGGCTTGCAGCGCTTGATACTAGATTTTGAATCCCAAAAAGCGTACTTTAAAAAATGCGCTAGCGGCAACGTTAGACTGTCCCAAGGTCCGAAAAAAAATGCCGTTTCTTCTCGAAACGGTCACTGCTAAGAATTTATAGTCTTGTTTGCTCGTGACGGATTTTCTCAGTTTTGACTTCATTTGAAAGGGCTGTTTTCCGTAGGCTCAGAAAAGGATGAAATGCTCACTCTAAAAAATTGCATGGAAAACTAGAATTGAAACGGAAACTTGAGATGTTTTCCTTTCCAAATATCATTAAACTCTCTGAACTAAAGCATATTTTCATATAGCAATATATAAGTTGAAACAGGAACTTTTTGACTCGCAGAAACGGCAGAATGGTCCGTAAACTGAAGGATTTTTGCAGTCTAGTCCTGTCGTAACTGCCATAAACATATCACTTCGTTTAATAAAGCATAAAAAATTGTACCGCAGTACAAAATGCTTTTTAAAAGCATTCAGAATATAAGTCTTTTGGAAAAAACATTTCAATTTTTTAATTCGTTGCAATTTTTTATGCATAAGTATTTTATTAGTTTTCTGAGTCTGCCAGAGGCACCCTTTCAAGAGAGGTAAAAATCAAAAGAATCCAGTGTTTATATGTATAGACAGATCGATTAGTAAAAAAAAAAAAAAGATGAAACTTCACTAACCCTCTTCATTGAAGACTGGCGTGCCCTTCAAGTTGCTGGTAACCTCAGTTTAGGTAGTTTGGTTCTGCACCTATTCGTGTGTCACTTTGGCAGCAGATTATTGCTTTAGTATAAGATTTATTTTATCCATTGATCAGTGTTAATTGTCAAACTTACCTGAAAACGTTTGAGGGAAGTATTATTATGGTAATTAGTCAGTCAGCGTGTTAAGGATTTCTGTTTACACAATGTAAATTGTTTTAGTGTTTATGATGATGAACTGGCCAAATGGTTGCGAAGTATTGGCTGTGATTCTCGTACTATACAAATAATTGAGGAGCAAGAGTATACTAAAAGTGATCTTATGGATTATGTTACAAGGGATGAACTGCTCCGGATGGGATTAAAGTTTGTTGTTTGAATTATGAAAATGGCTGCTAGATCTGTGTGGCATCATTTGTTCAGTTTCAACAGTTTTATCATTACATGTTTAGAGGTGGAGTGACTTGTCGTATTTGGCGGGAGATTGTCAGTTATAGAAGGCGGCAAGAACCAAGTCATTTGGTGCAAAAGAATTAATGTTAGCTGTGGTTGAAGAAATATGCAATGTTAAATCGTTTTTTCGCTTAAGGTATGGTGTAAAATTGAATAAGCATTGTAAGTGCTGGATTTTAAATGCAGTGTTTTATCCAGAAAGTTTAGGTAGTCTATTTTTTATCATCGATCAGAATTATTATTTTTTCGATTATTCATAAGTCTTTCTTTTTTTATTTTTTGTTTTTGCTAATCGAAGTTTTTACATACTAGTTGTGCACCCATCGCTTCACAACTACATTGAACTTGTCTAGAGCAGTAAATTTTGTGGAGCTTAAAATTTGTTGCAAAATTTTGAACTAGTTCCTTTTTCTTTTGTTCTTAGGAAGGTTTCAAAATATTTTATTTCCTGGTGTCATGAATTAATTTTGCAATTTTAGTTTCAGCTTTAATTATCTGTTGTTTTGGCTAAAGAACATTTAAATTTACACTAAAAAACATTTTTACATAATTTATTGGGCGTTAATTTTCTTGTTTCGTTTTCACTTCTAGTTCTTTTGTATCAATTTCATTATTGTACGTTAATATCTGTCTTTGTATTTAATTTGTTCTGTGAGGTCCCCACTTAGCTAAATTTATGGTTTTTAGAACTAGTTGATTTGTTAATTTTCATTTTTAGAAAAGTGGTGTATGAGTTTCTTCGGAAAAAAAAATCACAGTCTTATCTTAAAAAATTGCAATTTTAGTATTTAATCGTGATTCCGTCCATGATCTCTATAAATCTAGTATATCTACGTAATCTAGTCATCCTGATGCCCCGGTTTTAATTCAAAAAAACGAACTTTTATTCTTGCTTCTCTTCCCTCTATAAGATTTTCACTTTTTTGTGGAGAGACTAACAGCCATAGGAGGTCTAAACAACAAGGTAACAACGGGGTTCACATTTTTGCTGTTTTTATCTAGTTTTAGTGTCTGCTTGTGTGCGTGCATGTTTGTTTCTGTGTATGTGTAGCAGCTACTTCAAGCTCACGTTCAAAGTAGGACTTTGTTATTTCGGAAAATTATTTGTGTTTTTCATTTTTGACGTAAATTTGAGTCAGTCTTCCGGTATTTTTCATCTTTTTTAATGTTAATTCCAATTATCTTCAAACAACGCGACAACCTTGGACTCAGCGAAAATCTTGCTTAGTGGTAGTGAGCTCTACCCCTTTGGTTTTTAATTTCTTGTATTAATTCAGGTTACGTTTAATTCATTTCCCTTATTCCCCTCATTTGGTATTGGTTTGCTTGGGTAAACTCTATCTTATGTTTTTCAAAAATCAACTCTTTTTTCGTGTCCGTGCAGTCTGCAGTTTTTGCTAGTTCCCAAAATCCTGAAGTTATTATTTCCAGCAAAAACTTGCGCTTTTTCGCCACGCTTTTTGCTGCCACTTTCGATTCTTGTACATATGTTCCCCTTTGAAGGTGTTTGTCGTATCGGTCTTCACTACCTTTAATAAGTTGATTGTGACATTTTTTCAATATTTATGATGGGTAATAAACTCCGCGATACCACCAGCGTGTTTACCTGTGTAATGCACCTTCACGAAGGAATCACTGTTAATACTTTCTTTTTACTTGAAATAACATTTACATTACGAAGCGAAATCATTTTGAACAAACTACCAGTGGACGAAAGACAATACAATAGATGTCACAGCTCCATTCGTTATTGTGGTTGCTCTGGTCAACCCTGCCACCAGCCAGTATATGACCGTGGTTCCCGGATGTTTTCCTCTGTGCCAATACAGGCACTTAGCTCAATTTGACTAAGGCAGATTAGAAAGTAATATAAGCGTGCGGGGTATAAGGGTCATCCTAATGGGATACATACTGAAAGCAGCATCCTTCTGTCTCCAGCGTGATTTCTGGGTTCAATTAAACTTGGGTGAGAAGCCAGGTGTAAATAGAACTCAAGAAGTTGACTAGGCGGACGGAAAATCACGACTTTCCCGGCTAAAAGTGGGAAGATGATGACATCACGAAGCAAAGATGATTGGGTAGTTTGTACTGGAGCTCAGAGCTTGCACCGCAGGACGTAAGTTAACAATATTAGTAGCAGTATTAATGATTGTGATGAGATGCGCAAAGGACCTTATATCAGCACATATTAGTACATCTGAAGCCTTTTTTTCGGTGAAGTATTTGCTGAGGAAGGATAGTTCGTGCGGATTTCAACGGTTTCGAAACCAGTTCCTGAAGTTATAGTCTTTGCATTGGTCTGTCTGATATTCCTTGCAGATCCCATGATGTTTCTTAAGCGCTGCCGCAGCGAAACTGATGGCCTTTCATCTTTTTCCTGTACCATCGAATGTCTGAAATTAATTTATATTACAAAAGAACGTTAGATTTATAAAACAGAAGGGCTACTGACCTGCACACTGGATCCGCCGGCGTGCCATTAGACGAATTCTTCGTCAAAACAAAGTTCTTCAACCAAGTGATGTCCACAGATAGCGTATGACGGCCAGGAGACCCTCTCCTGTGTTTCCTTTTCTTCCTCTGGTGATCCGGCTCGCGCATTATTATCTGAAAGCTTTACGCAACACGTAAAGTAAAGAATAAGTGTTACTGCCAAGGGCGGGTGAAATTCTAGATGTGAAGATGGAAATTCAAAAATGAATGTTTTCAAACAATGACAGACGGAAAAGTTCATTTTCTTACCGGTGTTTCTTCGTAGGGACTTTTGGTTCGTTTATCCTCATCTGCAGCATTAGGATCAGTTGCCAGCTCTAAAAATGGGTCAACTAAATTTACCGTCAGTGAAACAGCTTCCTTCTCAGCTCTCCGGTTCACGAAAGTATTCTTCACATCAACAGACACATCATTTGGCAAGGAGAAATCAAGATCGCATGATATCGAACAATCCTTGACAGTTTCCTCCTTCTTAGTCTCTTCATCCAGACGAGTGGAAAATTCATTGCTTCTCACATCTTCCACTCGAGGAGTGAGGAGGTCAGAGTCTAAAAATTACCCAATTCATATTTGCCTCCCTCCTACTCTTCAATAAAATGAAAGTACCATGAGATCCTTGAGTAGGTTCATCACGCCATAGTCCAACTTTGAAAGCGACAACTGTGGCATGATCCAATTTACCTGGCATATCGCGCAACTTATGCCGGACCATTTTCCGGTGATTACGCTGGTCACGTTTGGACAAGCCGTCTTCTCTTCGGTATAATTCTGGATCCTCCAAGGTTCGCCTCTTAGCCCTCAAAAAATAAGTTAATTTAGAAATCACTGAAAAATGAATATTTATAATCTCTGGTAAGAGGAACTAACATTGACAGCTGTTCGGCAAACTGAATTAGGTTATTACACAACTGGCTACTTGAAACCCCAACACCGCCTAGGGGTAAACGATGAGTAGGAGAGTCTTTGTTTCTCGCAGATGGCGGCAGGATACCATTAGAAACTATATCCGTCATTCTAAAGAACTCAGAAGCAAGTGATAAAGTTTAATTAAAGTAGTGGACTGGCCTGCAACACTGACTTTTTAAGCTATGACTTAATGGGAACCATTTTTGACATTGACTACCTTAACAGCATCAGTTCGTGCCTTTGTTCAGCGTTAACGCATGGAAGACAAGCATTGCACATTCTTGCTTTCATCAATTCAGAATCTTGGTCATTGGTTTCAAAAATTGATGAACTGAAATACTCACCAATTCAGAAACCCGAGCAATTTCACTTATTCATTTTAAAAGATGTTTGATGCAGTAACTTTAAATTAACAGAAATAGGATTATTTGTTCAATTTCCAAAAAAATGTAAATAAAGCAGGCATGGATGGTAATTTCTGTGATACTATAAAGAGGCATAAAAAACTTACGAAGGATCTGGTTTCACAGAGCCATCATTCTCTTTATTTTCTCTCTCCTCACTTTTTATAACACAAAATTTCCCAACTACAGGATCAAAGTTGTCGGAAACACCATCTGACGTGATAAATATGACGTCGCCTAAAATGTTAACACCGTGATCTACTGCTTAAAACTATTGCCACTAAACGATGACAAGGAATCTATCAAAGTAAGTCTAACAAACCAGGTTCAACAAAAGTCATTGAACAAGTAAGATTATTCAACTGGGGATTGGCACCGTCCACTGGTCCCAGTGCTCCACCTGCATCTCGCATATCCCTCATTCTAAAGATGTCGTGTGATGCAACTGTCACCTAAAATGTCCAACAGTGAAGTTTCCCACTGTAATCGTTTTTAAATGGTTAACTGGTGCAACAAAATAAAAGGCTCTCAAAACAAGAATTTTTGAGAAG